TGTTGCGAGACTCCCGTGGTCCTCGGCTTACAAGATCTACATAAGACAAGGATGGGCAGCCAGTAAAGCATGTTATCTTGTTACTCTTGCTGATATCATTACTGGAAGTTTAGCATTATAATAAGATCGTTTGTAAATGATGCCGAAACAGGGTCATCTGCGGAGACATTATAAATCATTTTAGTAAAGAAACGTAATCTTGTTTAAGTAAGGTGATCATTTTGCAGCCATTGACGTCGAGAATGTTTTTTTTCGAGAATTCATCAATGTTTCATAATTACCTTTTAGTAAGAGCGTTGAGTCTTTTACTCAATTTGCAGAGATTGCGTTTTTCCGCATTCTAAGCACGACAAAAGTCTCATTTTTGTGAGAAAAGTGATACTTTGGAGAAACATATGCTCTCCAAGAAATCTATAGGGACAGTCCCCACTTGAAGCCGACTGAAGGATCCTTAATAAGGCTGATTTTCCAACTCCGGTTTGACATTTCGAAATCAATACGAGAAGTTTTAAGAAAAAAAAGAAGCAAAAAGGATGAAATGCCGGAGGCAGCAAAATGTATCTTCTTTATCTTCTTCCTTGGAATACGGACGCTGAAACCATCGGGCCCTACACTGGTGTGACTGACAGTCTCATTTGTGATCCATTTCACTGTAACGACCATTTTTGTCTTCTCTTTCTGGTTTTGTGTGTGACGGCGACTTTCCATCCACGCTGAAATTATCGATCAGATATTTTGTTTTGATTTCTTTTTACGGTGAGGAATAACAAAGGACCTGGCAAGCGATACAGAATGTATTTGCGGGGCTTGAGAGCCAGAGAAGTAAGAATCCAAACGACACAATTACATCTGTATAATCACAATCAGAAACTTGGTCTTTCATGCGATTATTTATCCATATTAATCAATGTTATGAATAGGCTTCTGGTTTGGAGAGAGACGTGGGCTTGAAGATCTGAACGATTGGAGATACAGCCGACATTGAAGATAAACGCGTCAAGCACTACAACTCCTTGAATCTTTTTGCAAGGTGTCTAATCATTTGTTGAAATTTAAAGATTCTCAGATGAGGTTATCAATTCGCGGTTTATCAAACGAATAATTACTTTTAAATATGTCATGTTTTATTCACATGTGTTATCCAATAGGAATTGATAATCAATCCCAGAATGAGTGAGTCTTGTTTTAAGCCGCTTTTACACGTTAACGTTTTTATCATTGGATCCATGCCGTATTCCGCCTTGAACATTGATGTACGTGTCGTTTTTCAAGTCACACACGTGTTGGAGACTTACGTTTTGATGAGTAGCTTGTGTGTTCCATTTTCGATATGGTTATTTGATGAAGGGTGTTCTTATGTGTTTCTTTGTTTAACGCCGCACTCAGCAATATCCCAGCTAGATGAAGGCAGTCTGTAAATTATCGAGTCTGGACCAGACTATGCAGTGATTGACATCACGAGAATCGAACTTCGAAATTGGATAATGATGACATGCATCAACCAAGTCATCGAGTCCGACCACCGACTCCGCTAGTTACGACAAGTATGGGTTGGTGAAGGTCAATTCTAATCCGGATCTTCACGGGTGAAGCATATTCTTGGTTCATGGGATATGATGTAATGGTCACGGTGGTGTTCTTGGTGTTCCTTGCATTTCCTAGGTGAACACCAACCGAATAGTACTGTAATGTTCGACTAGCTGTTTAACGTCACACTCACTCACCGAGAAGGGGAAGAGACAGTAGACATGCCAATATGACTCTGAAGATGGCACTGCGTTACATATCATTTACCGGATAGCATGTTTCTTTCTTAATTTTTTATAACTAGATAAATTTTGTTTTTATCACATTATCTGATAGAATCCTGGATTTATTTCATGCATATGAGGGTTATAGTTCTATCATTTCTTGACGTCTTCTTGAAGTCACTATCATAAATATCTTCGAAAGCGGGCCTAGTACGTAATCCAATGTACGGTTAATATGAGATGGATTATTTGATTGGATTGTCGGATTTTGAGTTTTAAGTCAAATAGTATTTGTTTGACTAGTCAACATAAGATCACATTTTGAAATGATCGCATGGAAACTTAATAAGCTTTTTAATTGACTATTTATCGAAATATTTTATTTTTTCTTGCAATGATTAAATTAACCACATTTGTCATTCCTTATCGTAATTACGCTTTCATATTTTTCAGATTACAACGAATCATTCAGATATTTTTTACAATATGTAACTTCGTTGTCTACACTCTTCAAAAGGAGAAACGGCACAGGTAGTATGTAGTTCATTGAACCTGACTACACAAAAAATCCGGTATATAAATTTGATATATGTTATTGGAAAATGTTGGTGGCCTGATATTCGACAAACGGTGCGTCAAAACGCAGCCATTGTCGATTTGCTATGTCGTAAACGGCATTGTTTTCACACTTGTTAAAAAATGTCATGGATGAAAACAGTAAAGCAAAATGCACGTGCACGTGGCATTCGTAGCTCGTGGTAGTGGCTATAAAAAAGGCAAGCATAAGCCAATAATTTGTCATTCATTTGTCAACATTTGTTAAGTTCGAAAATGCCGAGACTCAGCGCTGCCGATCGGAACATCGCCATAGGACGTATCCAAAGAGGGGAATCGCAGTCTTCTGTTGCACGCCAACGTCCACCACAGCACAATTTGCCGCCTTTGTGACCGATACACACAGTTCACTGCAGACCGTCCGAGAACCGGTCGACCAAGAGTTACCACCCCTGCACAGGATCGCTACATTCGACTGTTCCACCTACGTCATCGCAATGCCACAGCTACGGAGACTGCAGGACGCATCTCTGGTTTGAGGAGGATATCGGACCGGACTGTCAGGAACCTTCTTCGAGAGTCCGGAATCCGACCCAGAAGGCCAGTTATCGTCCCTGTTTTGCAACAGATCCATCGACAGCGACTCTTGCGTTGGTGCCATACCTTACAGCCTTGGAATTTGAGAACTGGAGACGAGTATGGTCTAGCGATGAATCACGATTTCTTCTCACCGGCGAGATGGAAGACACGGTGTTTATCGTCATCGAAATGAGCGTTTAGCCAAAGATTGTGTACGTGAATTCGACAATTTTGGTGGCGGAAGTGTCATGGTCATGTCAACTTTCATATTTGTATCTATGATATTTAATTAAATATATCGACTTTATTAGGTCCAATAATTTTACTAAACATCTACCTGTGCGTTTCTTTTTTGAATGAGGTAAACGACTAAACATCCGACTGCGGTATGAGATTAACAATAATCCGCATAATCTACATCGTCAGGGGGCGTCGGTGTGGTGTGTGTGTGCGTCAACCAACTCGGACACATGTAACATTAGCACTGATAAACGTCGTGAGGGAGTAATGGGATCATGAGGAAAAAATTTGCACCCAGATAACCATGCAGACGGAGTTGTCTACCCTTAGACCGCAGCGCCAACAGCATCTGCTAGACACAGTGAACTGAAGACACATGGTCTGATGATACAGTTGCCCTCGATAGACTTCTGGTGATGACATAGGTCCTTTTTTATTGCTTAATTGGAATCTTGAGATACATGAAATCTGTTCTGCGTCATGTGTACATAGATTATAATGTTATGGAAAGGGGGAAATGAAACATGGAAATATGCTGTTTAGACTATTTGCTTTACCAAACCCCATGATGTCCTATTGATTAGGTGTAATGTGATATCCCCGTAGCCTTGAGAGACTCATTATATCTTCATGGAATATAGATCACTAATGCATTTGAGCGAAGCTGATATCTTGTATTATATAAATGTATATTTTACATTCGCTCTTTGACATGAGGACTGATGAAATATTAATGGGTTTGTTAATTGGTATGTGAGATGAGGTGAAATGGCATTTAACGTCGCGTTCAAGATTAATGTACCACTAAAGCGTTTGCATGCGTGCGTTCGTGCGTGCGTGCGTGCGTGCGTGTATGTGTGTGTCATCATACACTGGTCCGGTTTTATAGTTCCAGCCAAATTAGATATACCATGTCACAGTTTAACATGAATACCCTAGTATTCAGACACAGTTTACGGACTCCGAGGGGACCAGTCCTTGTTTTAGCCCCTTACTGCCGAGTGCCATCTTTTAACGTCTTTAGGTATGACGCGGCCGGGCATCGAACCCCCGACCTTCCGCACTCCGGGCAGACTGATTGGTATGTAATACATGAGTCGGGTATACGAGTGAAGGACATCACCTTATTCATCACTTTCCCTCTCTCTGTAGCTGTTCAGCACTTACACGGCGTGTCAGCTCAACGCGGCATGCACGTCGTTTACTCAGGTGAAATCCACGCGTGTGGTGTTGCAAAAATCAAGGAATCGGTGTATTTTAATTTTGGGATTCAAACCAACCTCAGGTTATTCTCCACCTAAGGGGCATAACTCTACACAGATAGCTATGACGCCGGGTTAAGGCGGTGTGGGGTAATATGTCTACATGATCAGTCACGTAAACCTTTTCCTTATTTTTCTCTTACAATTAATAATGATTCTTTTGTCGCATTCTTTTCTAGATCGATCTGGCTTTGGATGGTCAGAGGGGGGAAGAGTGCTTGACTATGAGAATGATTTCCATCATAACCATGTATTGATTTCCATCATAACCATGTATTGATTTCCATCATAACCATGTATTGATTTCCATCATAACCATGTATTGATTTCCATCATAACCATGTATTAGAAACTTGTGATGCCGTCTATTGTTTTCGGAGGTTCTGACATTCATATAATCATCTGTCAAGATCCTTATTATCTAGTTCAACTATGTGCGTGCCACGTGTGAGTCGAGATTAACAAACGTAATATGAACATACACCTCCACTATAGTAGGTGTTTATAAACATTATAAAACACTTGTGTCCCCTCTGTTCAGTGTTCATGATCATAACCCCCTTCCTCCAATATGGTAAGTTTTCATACCTGCAGTTTAAAATAACTCACGTACCTGGGATGGGAACTCAGTCATTGTGGAGCTATGTTTATAAGGAAACGTTTTTGAAGTCATTCTTTGTAAATGTGTTAAACATGATTTGTTAGGGTGGTATGAAGTATCTTGGTTTTTGAACCATCGTCATAAACTGAAATGTTCAATCGAGGCTAAATGAATTTCATACACATAAATTTCAATCTACATTGTTACAGCAAGGTCTCCCAGACTCAAGAGAATAAATTCCAAAAGCAGCCCAACTTAAGTCTAGAATTAGACAAACGTATAGTCTGTGAAATCATATATTACACAATATATTTCACTCCTCCAAAATTAAAACAGATAATTTCCATGATGTTGTGGAATAGAGCTGGCTAGAGCTGGCTAGACTCGCTGTTATACATATATATAAATATATATATATATATATATATATATATATATATATATATATATATATATATCTAGATTGGGGTTGTGTTCATAGTTATGGTACAGGTCTAGTCTAGAATGAGTGGGCAAGTCTAGTTACAAGCATCGTTCTGCGCTACATTTGAATTGTATTTTTTGGCAGATATATATTTATAAATAAGATTACTTTAATTCTGGGACTGAATGTTATTCTAACCAGGCGGTTGCATATGATACTAACAAGACGCCGGTTAAGTCTACTTCTGTTTTGTTGCAGACTTGATCGTTATGTGTCGGAATCTAAGCAAGACTAAATATTCTCCATTGTGCTCTGTTGTGCTTGATATTGTACACCCTTGATCTCCAACTGAGAGACTCGGGGCTAACTTTCAATCACCTGTATTACCTGGGGCTTTCAGTGCCAAGCAGAACCCCAGAGTCGTGTATTATCCCACACTTTGGGAATAACCGTTTGGTTTTTGATGTTCTAAAACATTAATCAAGCCCCTGTTCAACTGAAAAAAATGTGTATGCCTCGCATTGTAGGAAAAATGTAATTTGCCTTTTTCTTGCAGACAATGGTCAAAGAATATAGTTGGTATATTTTGGAACATGCTTTTGTTGTGAAATATAATTGAGCTCCTACCCATAAAATTATACAGACTTCCCCTAGACATCCTCCTCCTGAAAATCAAACGGTTGCTTCCCTATACTATCATCATCATCATCATCATCATCATCATCATCATCATCATCTACATCATCTACATCATCATATTTCAATAGTTCTAGGCCTATAGTAACGTATGCCGCCATCCAAACTTATAAAGTTAAAAGGTATACCATAAAGGTATGGAGCTCTCTCAAGATTATGACATTCTTACGATATATTCAGTCTACAACAGTTTCGAAACTGGGCAACAGTGTCTGATCTATCTCAAGTCACTTTACGATAACCCAAGCCCTAACATCGTTTCGAAAATCTAGAGCATGATCGTGATCATGATATGGCAATGCGCAAAAACGATGGGCTATCATATACACTCAGCACACGATAAACTTAAGCTCTGCAACCGAAACTACCTTACATTAACGCTTCCAGGTAAAGACGCTCACCTTGGAAGATAGAAACCCAACGTCCCTTGTAACAAAAACCAATGATTTGCAAAGATATATGGCGGAAAATAACAAAAACCAATCTCGTCAAGATACAAAATACCAGGCAGTAATTTTGAGCCCTGTGTCAAGTTCCGATGTCCATTAGAAATCATCTGTATTCACTTGGTTTGATTAACCTCCATAATTCTGGGTATATCCGCTTTCAAATGTGAAACTATACACGTCAGTTAGCGTGGAACGAAACCCCATCCACAATATGACAAAGGCCAATTTGTACACAGAGAAATAATCGGTGTTTTTCTGACGAGCAATCAATCGAATTAGAACTCATTATTTCCCTGTGGACTTTCGAATAGTGAGATCAACAGGATTCCAAGAGGCGTCAATAGCTATCATTCATTATGCAGCGACCTGCAGCTGACCGGGGCGCGCTGACCCTTGTACAACAGGTTTGGGGCGTATGCACATCGAAGAAGTTAAACACAGCATATTCAAAGTATCAAAGTAACATAACATTTTGTAAATCGTATCCTGTATTTATTTATAATAAAGTTGTTTAGTTACAATACTCCATGGCTATGGACAGCACGTCCATTTCTTTATATCACAGGACACGGCGGTCTTATGTCAACCTTTCAGCAGGTATCAGGGGCGGCGTTTGATAGCCTAGTAGTTGAAGTGTTCGCTCGTCACACCGCAGGCCCGGGTTCGATTTCTCACATGGGTACAATGTGTGAAGCTTACGTTAACTCTGGTGCCAGAGGCTGCGTAAAACTCACTCACGGTTATAAGTGGATAGATAGTCGTTTAGTACAATGAGAACAATGTTGTATGTAGATATCGCCAAGCGAAACGTGGCGGTGATTGTGGCGCTTAACCTTTTTTCCAAGCGTATGGTTGGTGTATTTGTTATAACAGGGCTTGTAGAACATGGTATATTTGATAACGATAATATCTAACACTTAATAAACTGGGCGGCAAAAGAAAGTATAGGTCGAGTTCCATGATCGATAAAAAATTAACAAGAAGAGGTTGTGTTGTGAATTTTAATATAATCTAGGGAGGGGTAACAAATGATTGATCAACCACAGTTTGAATGAAATTGTGCACTCACAGGTAATGTAAGCTCAAGGTAAACAATTTCGGGTAAGAAATTTCATTTTCAAAAGTTGTCTGAATTGTCACTAAAAAATTGTCGAGACACTACAAGTTCATTGTCGACACAGTTGCCTTCAATAGCGTGTATGACCTCCACCTGCCTCAGTGCATGCTGTGATACGCCGCCTCATCGATGACGTCAGTCTTCTGATGACGTGGACTGGAATCCGTTGCCACTCGTCTCTCAGGGACTGCTGCAATTCTTGTCTGTTGACGGGAGGCTGATGGCGTGCTCTAATCTGTCTGTCAAGATGATCCCACAGACGTTCAATAGGATTCATATCGGTTGAGTGGGCAGGCCAGGGCAAAACGTCAAAGTTCTGCTGGTTTAGAAAGTTCCGAGTCAGTCTTGCAGTATGGGGTCTGGCATTGTCGTGTTGAAACAATGTCCCCTGCTGTTGGTTTTGTAAGAACGGAAGCACAACTGGCTGCAACACTTGGTCTCTGTACCGCACAGCGTTCAGGTTTCCCTGTATAATCACCAAATCAGTCTTCTGATCTCCACAAATACCGCCCCACACCATGACACCTCCCCCGCCGAATTGATTGACCTCTCGAATACACGCCGGAGCCAAACGTTCCCCTCTGCTCGTTCTCTGCCGTCATTTCGAAACAAGTTAAACCGACTTTCATCAGTAAACAACACTCGACGCCAATTTCTCACTTGCCAGCGTCGAACCTGCCTCGCCAATCGCAGTCTCAGGCGTCGATGTTGAGCAGTCAGTACCATTCCTCGGAAAGGACGATACGCTCGGATTCCAGCAGCACGAAGTCGTCGCAGTACTGTACGTTGGCTGATGGGATGTCCCAACGCTGTTGCTGCCGTCGCCGTCGCCGTTATCAATCTGTTTCGCAGGTGAATGAGCCGTATCTGACCGTCTTCCAGTGGTGTTGTCACTCGGGGTCGTCCGGTTCTAGGCCTGTCCTGTGTCCTCCCTGTCTGCCTGTACCGTTGAATCAGCCTGGCTACTGTCAATGGTGTACAACCAAACCTTCTGGCAATTTGGACCTGTGTTGCCCCCATTTCGGCCATACCGATGGCTCTCTCTCACTGCTCCTGTGACAGTCGTGGCATTTCTTTCGTGTGCTTTCGTCACGTGTACCCTGCAGACGAACGCATTTATACAGCTAACATGCACGTGCAGTTTATGCCATAGGCGTGAAACCTGTTTCACCATTTTTTGTCACCGCACGAGCGCCGTCAAAGGTGGCGCGTTCGGGTGAGGTGTTTTTTGGTACCTGTTCCTGGGCGGTCAAATTCCCAATACCCACTTTCCACTAGTTGTCGCTGTTTTTAGGGATATTACAAATTGGCAACCTATACTTTCTTTTGCCGCTTAGTTTAATATGTTTAACCTATTGGTGTAAATGTTTGATATGTTATTGTGTGGCTTGAGACACCAAAAAACCGTATATCATCAAAAGTCTAGTGATCATTTGCAGTCTAGTGCATGAGCGAGTTGGCTTTTTCGCCGCTTGCAGCAATATTCCAGCAATGATGCAATGGCGTGATGAGCGAACACCTCGTCCACTTAGCTATCCCGGCTCCCAACATTCCCAATCTAGGCCTAGACTTTGGTAAAGGGGCGTGTGTGAAACTGAGACATTGTTCAGTAACGACCATCATGAACTGACTGATTGTTACCTATCCTAACGTGTGAACTACCAGACACACAAAGTGCTGTTTCAACGACTCGAATCAAACACGAATCAAACTGTCACTTGGTCAGAGCACATCTCTCAAAATCATGGACATACAACAAGTGAGACACAGCCTTCCACGAAGTATCTACAAGTGGTTGATGTTGATTTGAAACCTAATCGACCGGCCTGCTCTTCTTAAATGAACTTGACTCGTATCGAAATCGGAAAGCGAGACCGTGTGCACACAAAGAGTAACACAAGACCCTTGACAAGAACAGCCCCCCCCCCCCCTCCCTAGCCGAAAACCCACCGAGGAAATGGAATTATTGAGACATATATGCTTTGATCTCTTCTCTAGAGACTATTGCGGTTTTGTTCTTTGATGATTTTTCCACCCATCTGATCGATATGTTTATTGAAACAAACCAGTGCCTTTCACAGCCACGTTATTGTGAATTTTTTCGTGACCGCAAATGGCGCAGGTCAAGGTCTGTTGTCGGGCGTTGCAAGAGACGGATAAGTGCGGCTGGGTTTTGATTTTCTGCAGCACCAAATGAGAGAGTTAAGAAGTTCCTAAACTAAAAACTTAAAGAGAGTCCCTGGGCTCCTTTTTATTATATTTCAAAGCTATAATTTAACAACTGTAATATATCTGTAAAGTATGTTAATTTCAGAGACTAGATGTTTGTGTACTTCTACTACTACTA